TTAATATTATTGTGGATCGTGCAGACCGGAGTCGTTCGACTGGTACAAACAAAATTTATTTTAGGTTTGTCGTTAAAATTGTATATAAATGTTTAATTTTTATCAATATTACACCTATATAATTCAATATACAATCAGTACAAATAATTTAATCAATATTTTTTTCTAATATTAATTTAGATAATTTTGAGCAGTCTATGAAATTACTTTTTACACATTCGTCATTTGAATGCTGCAAAACAATAAAAACAAAGTTAGATGGCAAATAGCTTATTCGTTTGAGAATATTCACAGCCTGATTTTTTTTTTTAAACAAATATATATATTATAATATATTTTTTCTTCCAAATATTGAAATGTTTGCAACAGAATGAGAGAGATAGAGAGTAATAGAAAGTGAGAGCCAGTGAGTGACAGTATATTACGGTAAAATAGTCTAAGACGGCATATTATGTTTGAAGTTCGTAACAGTGTCTTAATTTTAATTTTTTTTTTTTTTTATGTTAAAAACGTCCACAATAAACAAAGAACCCATAGAACAAGCGAAACGTAAAAGCTTGGGTCCGGTTGAAATAGATAACGCGCAGTGTAACCTAAAAAGTCAAATCTAAAAGAAAAAAGATGTCTGAATACAAATAATAATAAAAGAGATTTAAAACTGTGATTATAACAACAAAAATAATGATAAGTAAGATAGTGTAATAATATAAGTAAATAGGGTAGAAAAGTATATTATAATATTATAATAATAATATCATAACACGTATTATTGTAATCATAGTAATAATAATAACAATAATAATAATAACAATAATTTAATGGTATAATAATAATGTATGTAACGATGACAATATATTGTGCTGCTGGGAGGACGAAACGGAATGACGAAAAACTGAACGCATAAAAAATAATTGACAAAAACGTTGGTCTTACAACTAAAACCAAACTAAACTAAAGTAATACAAAAATAAYTTTATACCGAAATAAAATATAATTATAATATTTTTATGTAAACGTTAAATAATTGTCCAGAATGATGGGATACCGTGTTTCAGAGAACGGCTAATAACGAATATACTGTGTTTATTTTTATGGCGTTTTTTTTTCTATCATTATTATTGTCGTCCCTCAAAAAAAAAAAAAAGAAAAAAAGAAAACTACAAAGTAAACGAAATCGTTTGATCCCATGGTACAAAAAAAAATCACTACTAACAGAATACCTAATATATTATTATGTRATTATTTTATCGATAACGTTATTAATATTATTATTATTTATGAATTAATTTTTTTTTTTTTTTGATTTTGTTGACAATAAGTGAAATGACGAAAACCACCATTACCTCTATTTTATATCGCATTCCGTATAGTAAATTATAATATTAAGACAGTATATTATTATGTATGTGTATAGTGTACCCGCTATACCTCAAACTACTATTGTACACATCTATATAATACTATAAATATTATTATAATACCGA